TGCAGAGATTTATCTCTCTGTATTGTGAATATCAAATAAACATTGCTGGTGGAAAAAGAACCAGAAAACAAACTTTCCTTTCTTCTTTCATCATATAAATAATGTTACATACTCTCCTTCTTCTTCAACTTTTATACAAAATAACGGTTTGTGAACAATTATAAACCATATGCTTACCCTAGTAATCTCTTGAATAATATTTTTCAATTGGACCATGCAATAACATTACAACCTGAAGTGGAGAATAATGCTAAAAGAGATCATGAAACTCACCTTATGATCTCGGGAAGTTGTCCAAACTCTCAACAATAGCTCAAAAACTGAATTCAGAAATGACCTGCATCGCGTGAAGCCCTTAATTTTGAGTGCCTTCAACAACAAAGACTAGCAAAATATAACAGACCAAAGAAAGTGGTCTCACATGACATCACCGTCAAGAGGAGAATCAGAGGTAAGATCTGTGGTGTATAGCCACACTGCCTGAGACCAGCACTTGAATGCTAGACATGAAGTCAATGATTCATATATGAGACGAAATAAGACAAAATAAGGTGATACTAGAGATAAGATGAGTTATTAGAAATAGACAGGCTCTTCCTTGTATTTGATATTAGCGCACACGCAAATTGCATGATAAGTGTTTATCATCTCTTCCACCATTTTAGAGTGTTTGAAGATGTACAAGTTAATATCCTACTTTTCTATTACTGGATTAAATTTCCATATCAGTTCAGTAAGTGAACAAACTCTGAAATGATCCCAGATTAGAAACAACTAACCACATAGTACAGAAAAAAACCAGATTATCTGATAAGGGAAGAAAATTGGCACAAAGAAGCACTTCTATAATTCCCAAAACAAAAACGGATTACAGAAGTTTTACTGTACCATTTGCAAATATTGGTCGGTGTAAATCACGAACATTCCCAAGAATAGGTAACACTCTTGAAAGTACACCTTTCAGGCGTGGAGTGAACTGCAAAGCTTCAAAGGAAATATGAAAGTGCTTCAAAATATCAGAGAACCGCAATTTCCATAAACATTTCAATGTGAGAAAMAAAAMAAAAAAAAAATCAACGGAGATAAGAGTTAGAAATTAACCATCAGATGAGGCAAAGTCAGCAAGAATTTGAACCATAGCAGGCGAAGCTGAAGCCGGACCAGACAAATGAAGAAATATTTCTTCCATCATCTGTCCATGTCAATTAAAAAGGATCAAGATTACAGTACAGAACAAATAACTTGGACTTTATCCAAAATAAAAAAATCAAATAACTTGGTGAAGGAAAATCAAGGACAAAGTCTAATGAAATAGGCTGCCATCTACCTCATAATGACAGTAGAGAGAACCAGCTTTATTTATGACACAACTAAAGTGCCTCAATTCAAACGTTTATGACAACAAATGAAAGTATCTACTATGGCTTTCTCATCAGCAACCCATCTTGTGTCATGCAATCTATCAAAGATAACCACCTACTTCAGCATAATGACCATTCTTTAAATTAGATTAACATATATGCGGAGCCCAAGAACTAAATCCAAATAGTAATGCATCTCACCACCGATCATGTTACCCTCTTACAGCAACCTTTTGTCTATAGCAAAAGGCAACAACTCAGGAATGTACAGTCACATAGAACTAAAGAAAAAAAATGTTTTCTCAGTGTCCAGGAAACCCCTATGAATAAATAAAAAATTAAAAAGACTTACAAGATCTGGAAAATGTGTTCCAATTGAGACAAGCAGCCCTGACGCTTGCCTTTGCCAATCAGCATTTAGTTCCTATGTTTTAATGAAGCAGTAAAAGATAGCAAAGTGATCAGGAAACATATACGAAAATTTGCGAGAAATTTTGTAAGAATTGCAATTAGTTTCCCCTGTTTTGTCTAAAAATCCTATGTTACTTATGTTTGATGGGAGTGTCTCAATCATCTAATCCTGAATCCAGAACGTCAAATTTCTAGGTAACCTCTGCTACAAGAATGAGCAACAAATGATTCACTTCTGTCCAACGCATAAGAAAAATGCACAAATCTTCTTAGCTTCAGGCACATAAAACGTCACATAGATACGAGAGCGAAAAAAGGCAGACACATCGAAAAAGAGAATTCCCAAGAGTGAAAAGCCACGAAGTACCATTTCATTATCTCAAACAAGCTATTAAATTTTCAAAATTACATCTAAGAATCCAGCTTCACTATTTAAATCTGTATAACTATACAAAGTATAAACGAAAATCTTTAACAATAGGTCAGTCTTCACAACACACACCTTGGAAGATATAATCTCAGCTGTAGCAATCTTAGCAAGCTTTCCCATGAAAACTTCATCACTCTCCCCTTTCTCTAATGCACCAACACTGAATGCCATTACTTGGAAAACCCCAGCCATGTTACCAAACCGCTACAACACCAAGTAACCGCCAGATTTAACACC